ACTTGTAGTTGTTGAGATTCTTATTCATTGTGGAGTCTTCTCATATTATCTCTCTTGTCTCTCCCTCAGGCCTCAGCGATTTGAAGAAGATTCCTTGAGGAAAACACGTACAATAATCATCACATATTATCATTGATGAAATTATGACCTATCTGAGCATTTGAGACAATAAGTGAAAGATGATTTTTATGTAGTAATGAGCGATCGGTAATAAGAGCTTTTTGTGCTTTGACAAAAAAATAAGAAGTATGACGAAAAACAACCTCCAATGAAAACTACCCTTGTAAATAGTAGAATCACCTGCGTTATGGATGCTAGGTAGTAGGTAACTTATTTTGTTCTTCTGATAGCTGAGTTTCTATGGGAGGTTATTATTAGATAGGAGATAAAGATGCAGAGTGTATAAAGTATAAACAACCATATTTGTTCTGATAGCTGAGTAGTTTCTAACGGAGGTTTAGCTAATAATGATACTTTAAATGAAAAGAGCTTTTTTTTTCATAGACAAATATTTGTCTGTAGTTATTTATTTATTTATCTGCATCTAGAGATAGATAAAAGCCCTCATCGCCGCTACCGGCAAAAGAAGATGAATTATTCTATGCGGATGCTGAACATTATCCTGACTCCTAACGCCGTTCGGAGACCAATCAAAATGCTCCAAATCACCCCTTCGCTCGATACTGCCGATATAACACATTCTAGTTGTTCTTTGGACTGTGTTCCGTGTCGACCTCCCTACAGAATAATTTCTGACAAAAGAGGGCACACGTTAGAAGAAATTAAATGCGAAGCATTTACTGGTTTTCCCACCGTTTCTGACTCAAAGTTGCCGCTGGGGAAAAAGCTGGGATGGATGACACAGTAAATTAGATCAGAGCCCCACCATTTTTTTTTTTTTTGGACCTTTGAGCAAGTTAATCTAATAAATTTTAAGTGAAGTAATACTTTTATTCATTCCCAAAAAAAAGTAATACGTTCATTCAATATTTATTTTCTTTACAATCCTTTTTAAATTATGACTGCTATTTTTACCAAAAAATTTAGTCACGATTTTATATAAAGTGTGGTTTGAACTACTTTTTAGCCTCAGAAATTTTAATTAAGTCGCATAAAATATTAATCTTAATTAAATTTGATCACTAAAAATATAACATAAATGAGTAGATGTTCTGTAAATATTATTATATTTCTTTAATATTTACAGTAAAAAATGTATGAATAATGGCCAAATTTCCTTATCGTTACAGCAAGACGTAAAGAGGAGAGAGACTATATTAAAGTTCAGAATTCTTGCATTTGCTTTGTTTTTTCTGTTGAAAACTTATAAGAATTTTAATTAGATTATCCAATATGAAATCATAAACTTTGGGATTCCCATTAATTGAAAATAATAATTCAACATTAATCAGCATTAGAAACAAGAGGAAAAAGGTCCATTATGATAGCAAGCTTATTAAATTGCACCTTTCACAATAATAATGGAGCCCAGCATTGTCACATTGTGGAATGCATGGGATTATGCATCACATTCTGATCACTAAAGCTTAGGGAAATGCTTTTGATAATTTTTATTACGTATCACATTTGTCTCATAGATTGGATTTGCCTAATATAATAAGAGAGTGCATACATATATGATAATTGTTCAATATTATATTCTATAGAATATTATTAAGGAAAACAATATTAATAGTCTCAAAGGTGTTCATCCTCGAGGTCAGTATATTCCTTTAAAATAGTTCAATGAGTTGAAAATAATGAAGATAGATAGGATTAAGAGAGGGATGTTTTAAGAGATTCAATTACATAGTAAAGCAATTGTTTAAAAAATGTTGATGTGTCCCATTACCAAAAAATCAAGCTTTCGCAGGACAAATTTCGACTTTTCCCGGCGGTTTTACCCGCCACAAATATTTTTGCAGCGATTTTATGACCGCTGGATGTCCGCCGTGATTATAATACGCTGCAAAGACATTTTGCGGTGATTTCAGGACTGACGGGGTAGTGCTAAGAAATGCTGAATATAACCACCGTCACCCACCTACTAAGGTCTCTCCGACCACTGTTGCCCGCCAACTACAGTCCCTCTGACCACAATCATTTGCCGACTACAGTCCCTCTTTCTAGGGGTTTCCACGTAAAAATTATGTTCTTTTATTACTTTCATACCCCCTCTCTTTTTATATGTATGTGTATTGGATTTTCGTTCAAAGCTAAGACATTAATCTTTTTATCTCTCTACTATTGTGAATGCTCCAGGACACAACAAATATAAATACAAACAATTAATTTTATTAAAAATAATAAATATATAAATGGGAGCAAGAAATAAAAAATAATATATATTTTTTTCTTTTTCAGAAATCTCAAGTCACAAGAAAGATGGAACTGAGAGTAATTTGTTTAGGACTAACAAGAACAAGAGTTCTTAGCATATCTCTTCTCTCAATTAGATTTCATAATGCTTAGCGCCATCCATACAAAATTTATGAATACACATAAAAACCTTTTGCTTAGCCAGCAAATACTTTTGGAACATCAAACTCATAATGATATCAGCCCTCATTTTATTAATTAATAGTCATTATTTGAATGGCATTTAAAGGCTAAGAATAATATTTCAAGTGCCGTTCAGTCCAGGCAATGGAGCCTCACCTTTGTTCATATACACGATGTAGAATCCAATAACTGAGAGATCATATAAATATATAAATGGGAGCAAGCGATAAAAATAATATTAATAATTTAGATTGCCTAATATGTCACATTTAACTGATAAAATAACTCCTTGATAAAATATATAAAAATGATAGCTTTACCTTTGATTTTCTTCTCTTTTGCATGTATCAATTTGGCATCTTAGTTAAAGAGCTTTCAAAGCTCCTATTTTGATATAATATGATTCTTTCAATCTTCACCTACGATAAAAAATTTAGATAGACATCAAAATGAAACTGATTCTATAAGCCTTTGGTCCTTTGGTTTGAATAAAGATGAAGATAAAAAATAATCAAGATCTGATATAATTTTACTTTTAACTATTTCATTTAGAAACCCCTATCTGCCAGTGGAAGCAAAGCCCTCTTCATAATAATTTGCAGAATAACCCAAAGATTAATATTTAAATACAATTTATATGATGCATAACATATTGCAACAGTTCATTGAATGCCAAATAATCCAACTTATTATTTCCTTTAAATGAAAAAAAAAAAAACAAAATAAAGATAGTCAAATTTAAGAGAGATCACTACATACATGCATTTCAAATTAACCGAAAATTCTACTAATTCAATCCAAATTATGCTCAATCTAGCTTCAACTAAAATCTGGCTGGCTTATTCATTTCAGTCTGAACTCTTGATTAGAGCCAAAACTAAATTCCATCTTTAAGTATTTCTCAGCCCAAAAGAGAACATAATCCAGGAACCAATAATCAGTCTCATCTACATTAGTCAATAATATAATGTGAAGGAAAATGGCAGAGAAGGTATCACTTCTTATAGAAGCTCCTTATTTTTCCAAAATATCAAAAAATAGACTGAAATAGTTAAAAAGTAAAAGTAGTAGTCAACCAAGCGTAGACCCTTTAAATCCAAGAAACTTTGATTCAGCTAGATAAATCAAGCTTAAAACTAAGAGTTCCCATAAGAGTTTGGAGATGGAATGGATCTCATTCTCTTGAGTTGAAATGTATGCTCAGTTGGCTATAGCTTTTTCATTGCTAAGAACCTTGGCTACCCAAAGGTAAATTTAAAATAGAGAATATTCTTAGCAAAAAAAAGAAAGAAAGCAGATTGATCAAGGATCAGCAAAACAGGCTAACACCCAAAAAATCAAGCATGAACCCTGCTGAACCATCCAGTGTTCTAGTGGGCCATTCAAATCCAATCCCAGCCTAGGGAGACGGATCTTCGGGCTTGCGATGTAGCAGGTGAGATAGCAGCAAGGGAGGGCAGTGAAAATGATGAATCAATCCCTTGAGATTTAGGCTTCATTTGGGATGACTTTCTTAATGCTTCTTAAAGCAGCTTTTTTAGTAAAAAAATAATTTTTTTCTACTACAAAGCTGCTTTAAGAAGCAGAAAGAAAGTCGTCCCAAACAAATCCTTAGTATTTGGAAGTTGTTGACTGTTGTAAAAAAGGCAGCTTGGAATAGGACGCCGGATTGATGCAGATCCCAACCCTTGTCTTCCCTATATTTAGGTTTAGCTGCCTGAAACTCATGCCTCAAACTCCATAAATCAGAGGAAGGGCTTGTAAATAGAACTTGACAACTTTCACCCATTTCAAAATGACAACAATGATGCCTATTTCGATTAGCATCCCTGATCAGAGCCACGATTTGGAAAAGGATATCTTACGATAGTCTAGGTGGTTTATTTTACAAAAAGAAACGACTTGAGACTTATAGGTTTTGTTTGGGACAGCTTTCTTTCTATTTCTTAAAGTAGCTTTTTAATACAAAAATGAAAATGTTTGTATTCAAAAATTGCTTTAAGAAGCATTAAAAAAACCGTCCCAATCGAAACCAAAATCACACAAGTATGAAGAGTTATGTAATGATAAGATGTCCCACACTAACAAACACAGGTAAAAATACAAGATAAAGGAATGAAACACTACAAACTGTGCTTTGATAATGAAACATAAACCATACTGACAATTTTATTTCTGATTTTCCTTTTTTTTCTTAAAATCACAAATTAGTCTAATGACTCATACATGTACTTGTCAGGCGTAGTAAAAAAACTTCAAATTTACGAGCGATTAAGTGCCAGTTTACTGCCAAGCAAGTGGTCAAAGATTGAGCAAGAAACTTGCATCAAAAACTCACAATGATGTGTTTAGGAATCACGCGTTTGTATTCAAGGGATAAAAATCATAATCTCGAAGCCCAACACACTATTTTCTTCTTTCACCACTATGATCAATATTCAATAGGCAAACTGAACTATTTTTTGCTGGTCAAACAATGAACTATCTTTTTTAACAAGTTATGTCAAATGCTATCATTTGTTTTATTCGTAAGGAGTTCAAATCAACAAGCAACACATTTCAAATATCTAGCTATCAACACAAAATGCTGTACTGGCATAAACAAATTTTCTATATAAAAAAATTAAGAAGTCTATCGCATATTATCTCAATTAAATTTCACAGATTTAACACCAGACCAGAAGGAATTATGGCTAACAACTGGCTTTCTACCCCTGAAGTGGCAACACAATGTCAGGCCCATATTCTCTTTTTTGGTACGAGATCTAAAGTTTTGACCATATCAATCTTAGCAGCAACAATGAAATCATTCAAGCTTAGACCACCTGCAATAAAGCAAAGAATGAGCATCTGGAATTGGAATATTAGAATTTACTGAAGAAAGTAGCAAATTTAGATAGCATAGCAAAGCCAAAGGGTAGCCAAGACCAACCAAAATTAATAATGGCTAACATCATTTTGGTCTTTTAGATGTTCATGATGGGAGATAAGATTAGAGAGAGTCGCCTTAGATGTTTTGGTCACATTAAACGGTAGCCTTCCGATGACCCAATTAGAAAAGTTGAGGTATTAGATTTGATTTATGTTAATAAAGGTAGAGGTAGACCTAAAAAGATTTGGTTAGAAAGTATTAGAAATGATCTTTCTTTATTAGATTTAAATGAGAATTTGACTTTTAACCGGACACAATGGCGAAAAAGGATTCATGTAGCCGACCCCACGTAGTAGGACAAAGATTTGATGTTGTTGTTGCTGTTGTAGATGTTCATGATGGGCATAAAAGGTCTGTCAAATTTCTATAGCAACAGAACCTCGGACCATTTATTTAAAGAATTCTATTTTTAACTGTAAGAAGCAATGGTACATCACTCCAATTCCTTCAACACTAAATATATATTTGTAATATGCTTAGACCAAGAAAACAAGGTGATAATCCAGTGGACTAAAGGCAATAGTTAAAGTGGTAAAATGAAATAGAAATTCTTCTAAACAATGTAAAAGAGCTTAAGTTTGAGTCACCTATTGTAGTGGACCTTAGCTCTGCCGTAAGCTGATTAGGCTGCTCCAAGTGAAGATCCGGGTAGTGTCCAGAAACTTCCAATGCTTCATATATCCTACTTATGAGCTCAATTCCACATCCATAATTCCTTACACGCCATGTGCACTGGAGTTTCATCCCTTCATCAGATTCCACCAGCCTCCAACCAACAACCTAACCAATTATAACCATAAAACTTTTACCCATACCATATCCACCGTCTAACGCAAAGCTTTTTGAATACAAATATTGAATAAAGAAAATTTAACATTAAACAAATTTGACAAAATAAATAAAAATATTAATCACTGCGCCATCACAAACCTTCAAATATTTTCCCTTTTGGTATGTTTTTTCCTTGCAAATAATTGGAGTAGTTGTTTGATGTAGGACAATTTAGAGTCTAGAATCTCTAATATAGCTCTAACATGATTAACACTCACAGCATAAAATAAAGAGTTAATCCAAAATAATTAAATAAATGAAATCATTGATGGGTTAAAACATAAATCATCTTTCATTAGAAATTAGCAAAAAAATCAAGAAAATTACGCACACAATCAGAATTCAAGAACTCGATAGAAATATAAATAATCTTAAATCTAGCTAATAACAATCGCATATTGAAGCTAATAATAAATAACATGAAAAAAGGAAGGAAAAATAAGATAAAAAAGAATTTGCCGAAAAAAAAAGGCAAACGACAAGCATGCACAAGAAAATATCCTCCCAAAATTCTTCAAATCTCTCATCTGATCAAAGAATTGAATATCAAAATACAAGCAATTGCAGGTCTTACAAAAAATTATAACTCAACCACAAGCAATTAATTATGTACAGACTTTAAATTTATATACATTGAATATGATCGAATAGAAGAAATTCTACACATGTTCCCTCTTATAGTGTAGACTTTGTAGTCAAGGCCCAAGAGATAGTAGCCGAAAGAAGCAAAAGAATCATAGGAGGAATACAAAAAGCCATAAATCCCTCAGCCGCATGTAACTAGGGGTGTCAATATTTGACCCGACCCGAAAATTTCGGGTTAGGGTCAACCCGAACCCGAAACGGGTCGGGTTCGGGTTTAGCATTTCGACCCGTTTCAAAAATCGGGTCGGATTGGGTTAACCCTTTGACCCGAAAGTGACCCGATTTTGACCCGAAAACCCGATTTTGACCCAGCAACCCGAGATTGACCCGATTTTGACCCGTTTTTTGACCCGAAAAGAGGAGATTGACCCGTTTTTGACCCGAAAATTAGCCATTTTATTGTTGGAAATGGGTCATTCGGGTCGTGTCGGGTTGACCCAGACCCGAAGCGGGTCGGGTTCGGGTCAGGAAAACTGACCCGTTTTTAAAACCGGGTCGGATTCGGGTTGACCCGAATAGTGCCGGGTCAGTTTCAGGTTCGACCCGAACCCGACCCGTGACCCGAAATTGACACCCCTACATGTAACAAAAAAAAAGTTAGAGACTACAAGAAGTGGAGGATTACAAAACTAAATGAACAATCGCAGGTATTAGCCACAAAATAATAATAAAGATTAATCAAAAACAACAAAAAATAGTTTCAACAAATAGTAGAAAGGGGACCCAAGTACAAATCACCATTAACGATAGGGACGAATTTTAAAAAAGAGCATATTTAATGCATGATTAAATAAAAGAAGCGTGATTATTAAATAATTTAAAAAGGAGCAAATACGTCAAATCTACAGAAAATGTAAGTAATTAAGGAAACACTAAATTATTTGGCGTTTTCTAGAAAACGCCACATATTTTGACGTTTTGCACTAATTTTGGGCAGAGAGAGCCGAGGGGAGAGAGAGAGACAGGAAGAGAGAGAGAGAAAGGCATTTAGCACTAATTTTGGGAAGAGAGAAAGCCGAGAGGAGAGATACACAGGAAGAGAGAGAGACATGGAAATATAACTTAATTTAATAAAAATTAATAATGTTATAACTTTTTTAAATTAAAGTTTATAACTTAAATTTATGATTAGTTTAAGTTATAAATTATAAAATTAAATTAAGTTATAAAATTTTAATTAAATTAAGTTATAAATTTATCTAAAAAATTGATAAATTAAGTCATATTATCCTCTCTCTTTTTGCTCACCTTGCCTCTCTCTTCCCGTCCCACCATCTCTCTCTTCCAGGCTCTCTCTTAGTGCAAAATGTCAAATTATTTGACGTTTTTGCTCTTTTTTAAATTATTTAATAATCACGTTTATTTTCCTTAATTATGCATTAAACATGCTCATTTTTTAAATTCGTCCTAACAATAATATATCATTCTAACCATCTACATAGAAACTCCAATTAGAATTCTAAATACCAAAAATTAAATAAAATCCAAATAAAAGTTCAACTTTCAGGCTAGTCATCATAACACAAAAATGTTTACATTTTTAGTGACTATAGATTTTGAGGTTTACAATAATTCTACTCAACTAGAAAAGATTCAATTACAACGAATTATTTACTTCATTCATCAAGCTGATATGGTAATAAATATTGTCCATATGTCAACAAATGTAATATTTTCTCGCCAGCACATCATATGGTTATAATAAACAAGATCAATAATTAGATATGATTTCATCACCCATTATAGCTTTAGGCATGATTATCATAATTATCTAATAATTATGCAAATGATGCATTATCTTATAACACATTCATTCCAATTTATTATATGATTTTATATGATCCCATTTTTCTAGTAGTTAATTTCTTAAAAGTCCTTGCAGCAAATTTTGCATAATTTAGACAAATATTTATCTTATCATCTAATTCAATTTCACATGCCAATTGTTTGCATCTGCAATAAACTTATAATAGCCATGGTTTATGAATCATGCATATGAAAAATGGTAATCCAATAGCATATGATGCATGAAGAGGCAACTTTAAATTGTGTATATGCTGGCTAATGGGTACACCATATATAATTGAGAAAATGATGACTAAAACAAATATAATCATTAGATTCCATAAACTTTTTTTGCATGAGTAGTAAACACAAAATATATTTAATTTAAATAAGATGTGTTTATTACATGAATGAAAAACCTCTCAGAAGAAAATAATCAAAATGGTTTGAAAAAGTTGTCAAGAATTATGTATCTTTGAACTCAACGTCCAAATAGATGAGATTTTAAAGTTCACATTTCCTTGAAGGACATGATCAATGAACTATAGATAGGATGACATTATGACAATCTGATTTTCTCAATAAATTTCTTTTTATGAATATGTAAATCAACAAAGTTAGAAAAAAATTGACATCAATTTGATTAGTAGGCACTAGGCATACAAATAATTACAATGAAAATTTTATTAGAATTTACATTATTAAACTCAGAAGATACAATGTGTTAACAAACAATAGTTGTTAATGCGAGCTTCGGTTGGACTCATGCTCGAGCCTTCCTCACAACCCGAGGAAGAGAAGAGAGATTAAAGTGGGAATCTTCAAGCTAACTTAATAGGTTTAATAAAAAGAAAAAAAAATCAAAGAAAGCAAAAAAAAAAAAAAAAAAGATAAGCATCTCAATGAAGCACAACAAAATATTAGTGCTTTAGCGATCGTCATTTATGATGGATCTGATCTCAAGACTTTCAGTCAATTGCACGAGTGTTCTTGAGTAAGTCGGTTATGGAGGCAATTTTGGCTAGCTTGTCTGAGTAATGAATTAAATGAAAAGCCTAGCTAAGGAGTTTTTGGCAATATCATGCATCTCAAGGACACTCGTAAACATTTTTGTAGTTTAAGATTGAAGGAATATCAATCTTCTTTACACGCTAATGGTCTTAATCAGCTTATAAGTAGTCATATCATATTTGAGTGTTCATATCCCTCATCAGGTGACAAATTTTGATTTGGCGTGAAAAATGAGTAGTCACAAAGAGTTATGTTCTAAAATCAATGATATATTCACATTCTAATTCATGTTTAAGTTAATGTATGATCTCATATTTAATTTTAGATAAAGTCTTTGACTACTGCTCAATTTTAGGTTCCAGTTCATGAACAAGTTCTGGTGTATTCAATACATATTTTACTATGGATACTTGTGTATTCAAATTTTAACAAAATCATATGAAGAATCGTTTTATAACATTAAACATTTTTTATATATCTAATGCATAATTTAAAGAATATTTATTAATTATTATTTCTTCAATAGAGAATCAAATATATCACGCATGATATTAATTATGGAGCATTTTTGTGAAGAACTTTTTCATAGAAATATCAAGCAAGAAATATTAAGCAAATTTGCAATATTCCTAACAGAATAATAATAATAATAATAATGTTCCTCAAATTTAAGGCCTTGTGGTAAGCCTTAACTATTATCTTTAGAGAAATATAGCTAAATGCATATTGCATACTTAGTTTGTGGTCTAAGATATTTAATAAAATATATTTGGTAACATAATTCTCCATAAAATAATATTTAAATCTAAGAAAACAATTAAAAATAATTTTACCACCATGTTTTAAATACTGAAATTCATCATGCAATTTATCTCTTACGAACCAAGAATGATAAATATCATTATTTAGGTTATGTTTCATATTAATCCATGAAGATTTTGTTTTTGCAACAACACTTAAAAATACTTGTGTTGTTCTATTAATTTGACTTCAACAATTTTTTCTGTTTGGGAATCATAAATATTATAGCTTTCAAAAAATTCCTCTTGGCTATCTATCTAATATGAAAATACCACGGGATTGAACTCCTAGTCATAGTCCCACTATTACTTATAACTTCATAATAATTCGGTTGTAGGCTTATGTTAAGCAACAAAATATTCAACTAGATACAAGCATGGTGCATGAACAATGTAGAGATTGGAAGAAACGCTTGGAAGAGCAACTTAAAGACAAGAACAAGCACATGTTTCATTGAATGAAATTTCAAGTTTATTAAGAAACCTTGTTCTAAGTTTCTATTTCATGGGAATATTCATTCTAAGAATATGCATCTTATAGCTTGGAAAGATGTGTGTAAGCCAAAATGCTATGGAGGATTGGATATATTAGATCTTAATGCTTTGTATTATGCTTATAACTGCTCTCTTATTTGGAGAATTTTAAATACTAATAGTCTTTTGTCTATTTGGATTAAAGAATACTATACTTCTTTATGGAAAATGCCTACTAATAAAGCCTCTAAATTCTCGAAAGAGTTGTGTAAGCAGGCTAATTCTATTAAAAATAAACTTTCTTTTGTTATTACGGCTGATAGCAATTTATCTTTATGTTGGGACCCTTGGTTGGAAGGTTCTTCGATTCATGATTTAGTTTCGAGTATTAATGCTCATTGGCATAAATCTGCTCTGAAGGATGTTATTTTAAATGGAAGCTGGTTTTTACCAACTGATTTGCAATTCTTGAATATCTCTATTGATATTCAAAGCACTTCTTTATCTTGTTTGAAATGGGATGGGGAGCTATTTCTGAAATTTAAGAGTTATTATATGGCTTACTTTCAGGATTCTGTTGAAGTTTCTTGGTACAAGTATATTTGACATAAACGGTATGTATTGAGGTATTCTTGTTATGCTTGGATGGCTATTTTAAATCGACTTAAAACTGTAGATAATATTTTGAATAGAAATGTTTATATTCCTTCAGTTTGTGTTCTGTGTAATCCTGGTTTAGAATCTCATAATCATTTATATTTTGATTGTAAATTTTCTTTTTATATTATTACTTCTTTAATTCCTAGTCTTAAGCATTTTTTCTTAAACTCAATCTTATTCAAGTTTTTGATTACATTAATGATCTTAACATTTCCTGTAATATTAAAAATTTTTATTTTTTGACTACTTGTTGCTCTCTTTATTTCATTTGGCGTGAAAGAAATAATAGGAGGTTTTCTGGTACTTGTAAAGATCCGGATTGTGTTTAAAGTCTTATTAGAAAATCTATTTTTGCTAAAGTTTCGGTTTGGAAATCTTTTGAAGAGATTACTAATTACTCTATATATTTATTTTGATTGTCTAATTTTGATTCTCTCTTTTTCTGTTAGCTGTTATTAATGTCAACCGATTTTTAATCAGGATGGACATTAAATAGCTTAGATTTATTTTATTTTCTTCTGATTTTTTTTTTTTGAGTTATTTCTAGTTGGTTAATAATAGGTTTTATGTTCTTTTAGTTTCTCTATTGGCTCTTATTTGTTTCTCCATTGTTTTTTTTCTATATTGTTTCTTTTCTGTTGGCTGCTGCTTGGTTTTTGTATGGCAGGCTCTTTTCTTGTGAGGTCTCAGGAAGCTGTGAGGGAGCTGGTTGATGTTTGAGGATCTTGTTGCTGAAGGATGCTTGGGGCTGCAAGTTGGTGGTTGCTGCCTGGATTTTAGGAGTATTACTTGGATATTGTTTCTATCTACTTAGTTGTTGGTGCTACGGCTGTTGGTTTTAGGAGCATTTATTGGATGCGGTGGCTGCTCTTATCTCGTGAGATCTCAGGAAGCTTTTAGGGAGCTGGTTGATGTTTGAGGATCTTGTTGCTGAAGGATGCTTGGGGCTGCAAGTTGGTGGTTGCTTCCTGGATTTTAGGAGTATTACTTGGATGTTGTTTCTGTCTAAATAGTTGTTGGTGTTGCGGCTGCTGGTTTTAGGAGCATTTATTGGATGCGGTGGCTGTCGGTTTTTTTGATTTTTTTATGAGATACTTCTACTTATTGTATTTTTAGTCCTTTGGACTAGTTTTGTTCTTTCTTCCACTCTTTGTTTTGAAGGGTGATGCTGTTGTTTTAGCAGTTTTTCTGCCTTTTTTGCTTCTTTTTTTTAAGACAGAATTTTAGGTTGGGTTGTTAGGATAATTGCTTTTTATTTTTCTTTACACTGGATGGTAAGTTTTTCTTATTTTTCTTACTACCTTCTGTTTCTGTAATATTTTTATTTCTTTAATGAAAATTGGTCATGTTTGCCCCTAATTTTCCCAAAAAAAAAAAATAGTTTCCTCCTTCCCCTCCCTTGTCTTGGAGTTTGCACATACTCAGAAGGGGTTCCTCCTTCTTGAGCAATCAAGAAGCACAACAAATTGCTGTTACCATTCCAAACTTGCTAGTATCACCCACCCCTCCTATCAGCAAACTGCCATTCAGCCACAAGACTTCAGCCTCCTCCGCAGAAATCGCAAGAATCTTCTCCCCTGCGGTTCTTTCCTTCATCCACATGGTGTAGCCATCAAGATTTCCTTCCCTGCCAACCTTCCAGTGGTCATCCGAACTGCCTTGCCTGCAGGCGTCCAGTTTTTCCCTTACTGCAGCTTCCTCTACCATTCGGCCTGCTGTCTTTCTCCTTGCGTTTTGGATTTTCAGCACGCTATTCATTCCACCATACCAACCAAACTACTGCACATTCGATCTTCAACAATTCCACCTTGTTTCAGGCGTTGTATGACTCAAGAATTGCAGTTTTAACCTTCCAAAATCTGCAGTTTCAAGACCAAAGAGCTGCAGTTTATTTTTTTTATTTTTTATTTTTTTTTAAGACCAGTTTTCGCATTCAAGAACATTACAACAACTCCATCTGCAGTTTTTTTCAAGACCTATGGATTCTTGCCATCAGCCAATCCTTCACCTCTTACAATTTTTCTTTTCAAGTCCACATCAGGTTCTCCATCCTTTGATTCTCTTACTTATTTTGCATTTCCAAATACATATTTATACTAGATCTTCTTCTTTCTTTGCTACAAGTACCAATTTTTTTTAGCAAGAATTGGATATTTCCAATTTCCATCATATTGGGACCCATCACCATGAAGAATTTTGATTTGGTTGACGCATTACGATCCATGCAATCTCATAAAGAATCCCAATTTTCAGAAATTCAAAAATTACTTCATCCAGAAGATGTTCGATTTGCTTCAATTGACACAACTTTGCAACAATTTCAAGTCTTCGTGGACTCCGTAGACAACGCCTTGACAGCTTGCGTATAAATCGTCCATCTCACCCTTCTCAAAACCCTCAACCTCACCCATCCGCCGAAATTTTTGGGTCAACCGCCCGTTCGCCCTCCCAACAATTGCCTTCATCCTTTGCAGGTTTTTCATTCCTTAAAAACATAAAAATGGAACTTCCCCATCTTAATGGATCCGATGTTGACACTTTGATCTTTAAATCTCATGAGTATTCTGATTTTTACAACACACTAGATTGCCATCGGGTTAGAATTGCTTCTTTTTCAACCTCGAAAGCCCTGCGGCCACATGGTTCCAATGGATTCGTATGAAAAGTCACCTCTTAACCCGAATTCATGCTCTCATTACAACAATGCTTTGCCATTTCTTCTTACGCAGAATTGCATCGCAATCTAAGTTAACCCAAATTTCTTTCGTTCATAAATATCAAATATCATTTGAAAATCTTGCTTTTAAAATCCCAATTTTATATGAATCACTAATAAGTTGTTTTATTTAGGGCCTTAAGCAAGAATTACATAGAGAATTGTTGCTTGCCAAACCCTGCAGTCTTCTTGAAGCAATGGAATTAGCTCTTCACCATGAGTCCATATTACAAGTTTTTTTTCCCTTCCATCTTCCCATTGGCGTAAACCAAACCATAATTTTTCTGCATCCAAACCATCTTCCCCTTCTTTAGACCAACCTTCTACCGTCAGCCAAACATCCACACTTCCTTCACATTCAAATGTTTCTTCTAATAAGCCTCTTTCACTAACAATTCTTAAATTGTCCCCCCGCTGAAATTCAATTTCATCACGAAAAAGACTTGGTAGAGACGACAATGACTCTTCCGACTCTAACTACCCCTCTCCTGATTGTGATACGCCTGAACTTTCCCCATAAATTAGCTTGAATGCTTTAGTAGGAGAAAATTATCCTCATTCCTTTTATTTAATTACAAGTCTTGAATTATTAACCGTTATAATGTTCATATTTTAACTTATATTTAGGGTTTAGGGTTTAGGGTTTAGGGTTTAGGGATAGTACACATAATTTTATCCAAGACACTAATTCATTAACTTGGTCTTCAAACACATCCTATTAAACAATTCAAAGTCTCAGTTGGGAATAAAAAAATAAAAAAATAATAAAAAAAAAAAGTCTCAGTTGGGAATGGAAATTTATTAGTTTGCATTTCAAAATGTGCTCAAGTCACCATCTCAATGAAAGGTATCAAGTTCCCTTGAATTTATTTGTGCTTGCTATCCATGGCGCTGAGGTTGTTCTAGGAATGCAATGGCTTCAATCATTAGGTCATGTTCTTCACAATTATCATGATCTGACTATGCAGTTTTCTGCTCAGCATCGTCAAATTACCTTATCCGGTGAATCTCAACTTTTAACAACTCCTATATCATTTCATCAGTTTTGTGCCTTGCTATCTCATTCCCCCTCAATACAAATCTTCACCATCCAATCCGAACCCTTGAACAATCAGGACAAATCAACACAAACTAATTTCGATGACAATCTTTCATCCATCACCACTATTTTACCTACGTTGAGGCTCACGGATAAGAGGATCAAGACAGCAGTTTGCGCAGCTCAAGGATAAGGGGATCAGCACTATAATACCATATAACAGGGAGAATTATTGTACAGATATAATTAGTAATGGTATTGGCCACATGGGCAACACCATATACTCTCTCTGCGCCACTTCTCTGACCCTTAACGGTCTCTGACATTGTAGCTTTATGAGCTCTGTTTCGGTTCTTATATACCGCAAGCTCTCTAATAGAAACCATGGGTTTTTCTCTAATTCTACTGTTCATCTTCTTCCTAACCATGCTCTTGCAGGAAACTCTTCATGGTATCAGAGCTTACTAAGCTTCACCGCAACTCTCATCGTCTTCAATGGCGGACCAGGGCAGGTCGTCTCAGACCCAATCATCTTCCCATCCGAGCACCGCATCTCTATCAGCCACAATGGCCGATTTCACGGTGCCTCCCCCTCTCAAATTTCTCATGTCCAACCTCAAACTTCTGGTGCACACTCAACTCACCGTGGAGAACTACGCCATATGGAGGTTACATATTTATCAAGCTTTCTCAGCCAACGGGTTTGAAAGCTATCTTACAGAGCAACCACCGAGTCCCGTCTCACCCTCCGACCAAAAACTATGGAGATTAATAGATCAAAACCTTGTCTCTGCTCTAATTTCCACAATATCTCCCTCGGTCTGACCTTACATCCTTCATCTTAAAAACTCTCACGACATCCGGAACACATTGGAACTTCGCCTGCAACCTTCCAATCGTTCTCTTGTTCTCCAGCTAAAGAACGAGCTACACAATGTTCAG